TGTCTGAAATATTTCAGTGTTCACTCTGTATCTTAGCTTGAAATTTATCTAATCCTTTTTAACTGTTAATTTTCAACTACTTTTTCTTCACACATGCTTTCCGCGTAATGTTGAACACTTCTTACATTTTTATTCCAGATGTCCTGAAAACATGATAGAAAACATGCAAACATATTGTAAAGGTTTAAAATTCGGGGTGTGTATGCATATATCAACAGGAGTTATGAATTATGTATACCTCAAGCCTATATAAATTAGATTTTGAAGAACAAGCATCATAGTACTCAGGCAGGTCATAATAAGAGATTCCATGTGAAATGTAAAAACTACCTTGAATAAATTATCCATAAGTTAACACTCTCATTAGAATGACATATTTATTATTTCTGGGTTTGTGACATTGCTTTAATGCACTTTGACTAACTGCTCTAACAGCATGTTAAGAAACCACTGCAGGCCTTTCCCCCTCGGAATTAGCAGACTTTGTTTATATTTGAACTAAAATGATTTAAAAATAATATAACATTAAAAACAATCACCCATTTCCCCATGTAGAATAATAATACCATTTTCTTCTGCCCAGAAACATTTAATTAAAGCAGGATATAACTTTAATAATTATTTTTGCACAGAATGACTCTAAAATTAATAGTCAATTGTAAGACTGTTTAAAAATTGGGAGACTGACAATCAAAACATCTTAAATGCTTTGTTTGTGTGATGAAAAGGAGTGATCCTTTAATTCCCTCACACACATTAAACTGATTTCACAGACTTTCTGTGCTGGTGTTTAACATAGTCAAGTGCTTGAGGTTACATAAAATAAACAATCTTGAGATCTGATTGCAAATGTTTGCAATTTATGATGTAAACTGAATTTGTGAAAAAATAACAGGATCCCATGTCACTGAAGCCAAAAAGGCATTTTTCAGAAATCAGAATAGTTCCGAAATTTGAGTATTGTATTATGCTAAAGTATTACCATCTGAGGATCTAAAAAGTTATGAATCTGGGGAAAAACTCAAAATAGATATTTATCAGTTCAGCTTCAAGCTAAGGCCTCGGATCTCAGTGGGCCTCCTGTATTATAGGGCCTTTAACACTAATGATGTTTTGAGTAAGTTCTTTTAATTCAGTTTTCCTTAATCAGGGATTTTATAACTTGCACATCCTTAAGATCTGGGGGACAATTGCGGGAAATTTTAATTATTTATTACGATTATTATTGAGTTTGGACCAAAACGACACACATTGGGCAGACTTTATAGTGAAGCTTTCTTCAGTCCCCTTCTCAGAGTGGCCTGGAAACACGGGGTTGGGAACTCGGGGTTCACACATCCAGGCGTTTGGGCCGCGGCGCTCCGCAAAGCGGGCTCTGCGCGAGCCCCAGTGGGAGGCTGGACCCCCGAGGGACCGACCCCGACGGGAAAGGAAAGGTGGCCTCGGCACCCGCTGAGTCTCGGGAGAGGGAACGCGGGAGGAGCGGGAGGACGCCGCCGGCGCCCATGACGCAGGTCCCACAGGCCGCGCCAGGCTCGGGCACCGCCGACGGGGCCGAGAAACTTTGACCTCGCTTTTTCTCGCCCACTGGGGCTGCGTCCGCGGGCTCCTCGGCCAGCCGCGCTCCCTCGAGGACCCGATCCCGTGGGCTCGGCACTCAGCCCACCCGGCGCCGGCGGCCTGAAACGTTCCAGCCGACTTAGGCCCCGCTGCCGCGCTCCTTCGCTGAGGCCGGGCGCCCCGCCGGCCTGGGCCCGGGCGCAGCGCCTCCTTTGACCTCAGGCTCCCGGAGCGCAGTTGTAGGGATCGGCTAGGCCCCGGACGGGACCACCAGACCCTGGCCCCAAGTTCTCCCGTGACCTCCGACCTCCCTCGGGTGCCTCTGGAAGCGTCCGAGCCCGCGTCGGTGGCTGCATTAGGGTTGGAGCATGGAGCCTGCCCGTTTGGACCCTGGACTCGACAGCCGACGGGAGCTCGCCGGAGGCCACCAGCCCAGGCAGGCGGTGCGGCGGCTTCAAAGCTCACCCCGCCCCCAAGCAGATGTTTATTATGAAAACTAGGGACGCTTGTCAAGTAGAAGACCCGCAAGGCCTGAGCGCTGAATACGGCGCAAGTCCTGTTCAGTGGTCTTTGAAGGCTAAAAGATAAACATTATCACCCACGTCTACGCAGAATAACAGCTTTGAGCGCGAGCTCAACCCGGGAGAGGGCCGGGTGCGGGCGGCAGGAGCACCGCCCGAGGACGCGGGGCTTTGTCGCACGGAGGATCTCCTCTACGCGTCCTCCGCCCCCAAGGGGGCCCCAGGGGACACACGGGGAACCCTCAGTTTTGTCGAAGGGTGTCCCTTATCCCAGGAGCCCGAGTGAGAAAGGAAGAGAAGGTCCTGTCCCGGGTCTTCACGGTCCCTATCTACCCCCCAAATAGGCAGCGCCTCCGGGCTTAAGTAGGTGAGGTTTCTTCTGGGAGAGGGGACGGATGAGGGCTCCTTGGTACCCTACAAACGGCTAGAACCTGGCTTTTCCTAAATACGATCCTAGCTGCTACCTTTTCATAAATTTAACGAACGAAGACTCTATTTGAGCCAAAGAGCTAAACTGAAGTGGGACGCAGGGGGACCCGCCCTCCCCACCGCCCCCGCCTCGCTTCGCGGCTCTTATCCTACTTCCAGACCGCCACCGACTCCGGGGTAGGGTCGGCGACCTGGGACTGAGCGTTTTGTAACAATTAACCCAGGTGGACTTCGCACCGCGTGACCACGCTTTCCTTCCTTCCCAAAATGTTCCCTAAATGAACTTCAAGGGTGGAAGTGCAGCAAAATGAAGAACAAGAGTCCGTTTTAGGGAAGGAGATTATTCTATTCTACGTCATTTACATAGTATCTGTTCCTTTATTGATTTAGTGTAAAATCAATCCGGTTTCTTCACTGGGTGGATAAAACGGGCCAGGAGAGGGGGATTTTCGCTCAGCGCTAGAGAGCCACGAGAGTCATCCTTCTCACCGCCCCTTGATTGCCGCACGTAGGAGCAGAGGCAAGCTCTTTCCCAAGCTGAGTAGAGATAGTCGAGAGAGATACATATTCATCAAAAAGGAAGAAGGAACGACTATCCTGGATAGTTTAATAGTAACAGGAATAAAGATGACGCGAACCCCATCAAATGAAACAATACTATTTTCATTCAATTGATCGCAAAGTGTCTTCAATTAATAACTTGGCACTTATTTAAAAGGTTTAACAGAGGTGAGACCAAAACATTTTGTACCAACAACACGTCATGAAATAACAGCATCTTCTTTTGCTCAAAATAACTTAATACACTAGAAAAAATATGGCAAATATAAATAATTTTGTTTTCATGGAGAACAAATAGTTACAAAGCTCAACCGCATACCAAAGTTCAGCTAAAAGAGCTTTTCCTCTTTCTTGTAAATTAGAAGGGATTAAAAAAAAAAACTAAGGAGACTTTTAAAAGAATTGGGATACAGATTGCTCAGTCCAGGGTACCCCAGTTTAAATAGCTACATGAATTGAGACAAACAAAAAAAATATTTGAATATACACCTTTGTGAGATAAAATGCAAATGTTGAAAGTCAACCATTAGTTCACACATTATAGCCAAAATAAACTTTGCTCGTGTGTATCAACATATTTTACACAAACTTAGTGCCTGTATCTAGCTGGGTGTTGTTTAAAGTGAGTGTGATGGGACTGAGAGGGGGAAATAAAGCAGGGTCCTCAAACAGGACTTCAGGAAATCTGCAAGAGGGAATACAAGGGGAGAGGGAGACTCATTGACCGCCCATTGTGTATCAGGCACCACGTGAGGCGCTGTACCTTCATCATTTCTCTTTTCTTTTCCCCACATTTTCTACTTGCTTCTGTCGTCTTGGGACAATCAGAGTGTAACTTTTTTGCCCTTCAAACTTTTTTCTTTTGTCCCCCCAGGATTAAACATGGGACAAAAAATATATATAGATAGAAATATATATCAATTTTCAGATGCTCTGGGTATTGTTTTTCATACCGAAAATGAAAATGGAGTTAAGTGCGTGTGAGTAAAGCGGGAGCGGGGGGAGACACCATCAATGGAATACAAGTAACATGCAAACTGGACTTTACTGTCAGCAGTCTGGACAGTTCTGCCATAACAATTTCTCAGAGAAATCATTGTCTGTGGTTACCATTTTTGTATTAATATAATTTTTTTATCTCCTCGTTTTTATACTGTCTTCCCTCTTCTTGCTCTTCCATACGTGGTGGTTTTTAACTCAAAGCATCTGATTCAACGTAAAAGGAGGCCCGCCTCTCTTATCAAATTTCTTGTATTAAAGTGAACTTCGCAGAAAAAGGTCAGTTTCAAAACCTGTGAACTTCCCAGCTGCGTATTTTTTCTCATCTTATTCTTTAAATAAGTATACCTCTTCCGTTTTGCCTTCTTAGCCCATTAAAAAAAAAAACATACACTTTAAGTTGGTAACTCCCGCCCCAATTATCTCGAGATCTGTCCCGGATATTTTTCCATATTTTTTAATGTACAAAATATTTTTTTCTTTTTTATGCCTTGGTTCTCCGATTTCAGCTTCTGCTGAATAGCAATGTTCCCTTTCTCTTTTTCTCTCTGGTTTGTTTTTTCTACAGGTTCCCCCTCATTTTTTATTAACAAGATTTTTATTTCTACGCAAAAGTCCATCGTTGCAGTTTTACCGTAGGCCACACTTCACTGTCCCAGCACTCTTCAGACTTCCCAAACCCATCCCTACAAAGCCAAATTCTAGGCCCCCAGACAGGTGAATGGTCAGGAGCCACGAAGCTGGTGCCCTTCTTGGGATCCCGGGTGCTGCCCTCCGAGGCCGGGATGCAGAAGGGTGCAAGGGGCCATCGGCTGGGCAGAGAGAGGCTCGGATTCCGAGGTCCGGGGCAGGTAACAGAAGCAGCGGGGCTCGGAGGGCATGCAGGCTGCGCGCCGTGCTGCAGGCGCGACCCTGGCGCTGGCGTTGCCGTCACAGACCCAGGGCGGCCGCGTGCTTTTTGGCTTTCAGTCTGAGATCCGCGATGCTGGAGTTCTTGCTGGTAGTCTTGGCAGCAGCAGCGGCAGCCACGACGGAGGCGGCAGATGCTGAGTCTGCAGCCAGCGTGGCGAGCGGCAGTCCGAAGGGCGGCGCCGGGAACATCATGTAGGGCGCGTGCGCGGCCAGGTGCGGGTGCAGGTGGTGGTGCGCGTGCGCCACGGCGCTGTCCAGCTGCAGCTGCGCCTGAACCTGAAAGGACAAGGGCGTCACGTTGCAATGACTATCCTAGGGTGACAACAGAATAGAAAGAGAGCATTAACGGCGTCCAGCTTAGCTCGGGGAAGGCTGGGGCAGGGGACGGGAAACGGACGTTTAGCTGACCTCACTGTGACCGAATCTGGGATACTCCAGTGCCCCTGAGTATTCTGCAGCTCACTCAGAGTGGCTTATCCCCCTGAGACCCAGCGACTCCCATCTGCGGCGATTGTGGCCGCCCCCTTAGGAGCTGGGTTGGTCAGAGGGCAACGATGCTATTGTACGAATACATCACTCCCCTCAAAATAACAATGTATATGGGATAGATGATGGGGTGAGCGTCCTTAACCTCCTCTTTTGGTGCTGTCATACACCTCTTAACCCACTGCTAAAGTACCAGTAAGCAAACTACAAAACTTTAAAAATGTCACTTAGAGAAGTTACTGCATCTTCATCACAACTGGTACACTTGTTAGTACTCCTAAAATTTACTACTAGTAAAATTACATTGGGATCTTGTTAAAATGTACATTCTGATTCAGAAGGTCTAGGTCAGGGTCAGAGAATCTTGCTTTCTGACAATCTCCCAAATGGTACTGATGCTGCAGACTCAGAGATCACCTTCTGAGTAGTAGGGGTCTTCTCTTAAGATCCCCCTCTCTCTCCAGTCATTCTCTCCTGCTTCAGACGCCTAGCATCAGGATACTAGAATCCAGTGGTGCCAAGAGAGCTACGACCTCCTTAACACTAACGCTCAATATACGGCCACGCTCAGGTATCTCTTCTGACTAGGGACTGGCAACTGAGAGTTAATTCATGACTTCATAGTCCTATTTAGCAAGAGCCCTGGCCAAGGGTGGGGAATGTCTGATACTGGTTGGGAATGGGTTGCACCCTTAGGCTTGGAGAATGGGGAGTTCGGAGCCCTGGGATATCCTAGGATTAAATCATTGCTGCAGGCTGTACTTTTAAAATGTAGTCTTAAAGGTTTCTTTATGGCTAAGAAAGGGTTTGCATTGGCAAGGTGTCCCTGGGAAGACCAATGTTTTCCTCTCTATTAGAGATGAAGGTTTGCAACTTAAAAAAAAAAAAATCAAGTCTTAACTGGTAGTATTTTATTTATTTATTTATTTGGTCAGAGATATTTAATGTGACCCAGAGGTAGAAAATACCTCAAAAAATATTTACAGAGTTGCCTCAGAAATACCTTAGGACTAACTTTTGTATTGGAACTGACAAAATTTTAATCAAAAGGCTTTTCCCTTCCTTTCCCCAAGTGCAATCTTTAGTGCATTTTTAAAGGACCAGTTGCTGCCCTCAGGCATTGCAGGTTTCCCAAGAGGACAGAAAGGACTAAGCATGTAGGCCTCTGACACTGTATAGGTTTTTAAATGGGAGTGTGTCCTCTATATCAACTGAGAATTGATTCTCTAACTGTACACACATATTAGAGCTCAGAGAAAGGGGATGTCCAACAGTTCAAGCAGATATCCAGGTCTTTTTACAGTTAGAAACAGGTTAAAACTGGGCTGTACTTGCCTGCTGAAATGGCATCCTTAAAGCACCTACATTGACGTAGGGTGCTACTCTACAAGCTTCAAATTGGCTGGCAGCCCCTATGAGGACGCCTGTGGAAAATGGGGAACAAAACAAAATAAAGTGAGGTTAACATGTTCAGCACTTTCTCCCAAGGTTTCAAATGGTACCAAGATAGAACTATTTCCTTTGGAACTGGACTGCTGTCTTCCTCAACTGTTGCCAGAATTAAAATCAATGTAATTTACTCTCAAATTTTAGGACTCTCATTAACTGCCTTCAGGGTAGATTTTAAAATAAGGACCACAGTTATCTTTGAGAAGGTTTTTTTCTGTCTTTGTAATAACAGTATTCCCTAATACTCTTTTTATTTAGAGTATTAAATGTTCTTTGTCTGCGAAGCATACCTTTATGAAGTTGATTTTCTTGCTTTCTACATTTAGCTCTTCGATTTTGAAACCAAACCTAAAATTGGGGGGAAAAAAAATAAAATCTAGGTGATATGACTCAAAAAAATTTTTTTAACTTACAGGAGTATGACGAAGAAAGAGTAGTGTTTTAAGCAAGGAATGGAAGATACAGCAATCTTTGAATTATATACAACAATCTTAATTTCCAAAGTTAAATTAATAAATGACAAAAATAATTTCCTTTACTTTTGCAAGATGTATTGTTTCTTGATAAATAACTCAAGTTCTGTTTTCATGTTTCCACAATTAGAGTCCCCAAGGCCTAAAACTCACCCTGATACCTGATACTAAAGTGATAATGGGTTTAGATGTTTGCCCAGTAAGACCTGAGAAAAATGTGCTCATTAAGAGCCTGTAATATTAATTAGCTTCATCTTCAAGAAAAACCAAACACCAAAGCAAACAGTGACTCTGTTTTTTTTTTTTTCCTTGGGGGTGGGGAGATAAGAGTGGGGGAAGAGGCAATTAGTGTTATAAAAGCCTCACTACAAAGAAGTTTAGAATTTCTCTCTTCCTCTGTGCAGCAGAGTGTAACCTGGTAGCAGAATAATTATGCCATTATCATGATAATCTAATTTGCTTCTATAGAAAAAGTTGCTGACTACAGTTACAGTAGTAGAGAAGTATCCAGAAGGTAGATCAAAATTTAAATTAAAATATGAGAAAAATAAATACCAGCAATAAAGTTCATTTATTACAAGAAAAAAGAGCATTCTGTGAAATGGGAGTGGGGTATGAATCATGTAATTCCGGATAATATCTTCTCCCAGACACTACCTTCTTAGGCAAACTTGCCAACTTTTAGAAGCAGTATGGCAGATTTTAAGAAATTCAAACAAAGCTTGCTTTTATACGCCAATAACACAGCATTATGTTCCAATAATACGGCATATTGACTGATTCGCAAGTTTATGTTTAAAAACATGAAAGCAAAATACTGCTTCAGAGCTTTTTTCTTGTTTTTGAAAGCAAGTGTCACAGTCAATGTAAATCTTCAAAAATTCCCCTGCCATTTAGTGTAATAGAAGGGTAGATTTCAAGCCAGGGTGGCATTCTTTGTGTACCTCACATGGCCTGAGGCTTCTTGCTTCTTTTTTCCCCTAGAAGAGTTGGAACTGATATACTAATGCTCACAACTGTAATAATTATCATCATGTCTTTAAGGGGTTTCTAAGCCTCTAGAGATCTCAGTACACAGAGCAAAGTAGGACAGGCTTAAAAAGGAAGGCTCTGCTGTTGATGCTGTGATGACCAAGGCAGCCTATTATTACTTTTCCCCTTTAAGGGGACTGCTCTGTTTTTGTCCTGATCCTATTACAAGATGCGGGGAAGCCCCATAAGAATTGCATAGTTCGCTGCAGATGGTGGTCTCTGCGCCCAGAGACCCAGGGAGTATCTGTTACAGTGATACTTTGTAACAGCTGCAGATGTTCAGGCCTAAAACTGCTCCATGTGTTCAAACAAATAATGACCATCATTTTCTCCCATTTTATTATTTGAGTAGAAATAAAACCTGAAACATTTAAATTCGTTTTCCATAAAAACTAAAAGGATATGTATGCATGTATGTATATAATTTTTTTCCCTTAAGTGCTCCCAAAGCCTACTTTTGCCATTACATTCACCTCCACAACCAGTAAAGAAAATCTGCTCCAATACTAACTTCACTGAGTGCGGCACTTGCTGGGATCAGACTTTGGAAATGTCAATATTAAGATATGTTGGTTGTTTTAAAATCAAGTTTCTGATTCAGGTTTGCTTCCCTGGTTAAGTGAGAGAACAAAGAGTGACCAAATGCATTTATTTTCTCCTCTATTTCACACACAGTTTGAGATCGACCGCTAACAGCAGACTGTAAAATTCTGCACTTCACAGTTGCTAATTTTCTTTATAGTCTGTACATCTATAAACCTAATTGGCATATCCGCCTGGCAAACCTAGATCCCAGAGCGGACCCTCAAGGAAACCCAACTCGGGCGAACAAAATGTTCGTTGTAACTTTTAAAGCATCCAGAAGATAAAACGATTTCTGTGGGATTTTTTTTGAGGCTTATAAAAGTAGGCCCATTAGGATTAAACCACATTAAAGGCATTGTGAGGCGAGGGGGGTGTGGTTTATAGAAACCCTGGGAGCAAGCCCAGCAAAGCTTTCTTCTGCTGGGAACATATGTTGGTATGGGGTGGAGGGGAGAGCCCGGGAAGGCTTTAAGACTAAGATGTACTTTGGAAAATAAGACCTCCAGCAAAGACTTTTCTTCCCTTCTCACCTCACTCCAGACACTTGAACCCGCACACTCATCCTGTGTACCTCAAGCGACTCTCCAACCCCAGGCATGCCCCCTTCTCCGCTCCCGGAGACCTGCTTACAGCCGGATACCTGCACTCGGGCCTCGGACAGCCCCAGCCGTTGGCTCAGTTCTTCACGCATGAAGGCGTCCGGGTAGTGAGTCTCATCGAAAAGCCTCTCCAGCTCGTTGAGTTGTTCCAGGGTGAAATTGGTCCGACTTCGCCTCTGCTTGATTTTGGTCTGGCCTTCGTCCTCCATCCCTTTCGCATCCTCCTTGCGATCCTTCAGCTCTGGGGACACTGGAGGGGGCACCACGGATGGGGCCAGACACGTATGTCCGCGCGCGCACAGCGACAAAAACAACACAGCAAATACCATCAGCAGATGTGCCTACAGGAGGATGGAGGATTCTGCCCCCTCCCGGAGTTCCTGCCCAGGCCCTCACCCCGCTGAGAGGAAGACGATCCTGGAGATGCCAAAGTATCAGCTGGGGTGGCTGCCCGCGGGGCAAGGTGGGGCATTCACCTACCCAACCCCGTTCACAACTGCGGCCTCAGTTCACCTTCTCTCTCTGCACCCGCACTGTCCCCTGCCCTCCCCCGCGAACACAGACCAATTCCACTCACCCTCTCTAGCCCGTTCACTCTCTCCCACACGCACAGAAACCAAAAGCGCCGCGCCCCGTGGGTCACAGAACGCGCTCCCGGCAGAGGAGGGCGGCGAGGCCACGGACCGGGCTCCGACACCGGCCCTGCAAGGAGCGCGGACCCCTTCTCAGCCAGCGCTGGCCGCCGCCGGCTCTCCCGTCTTCTCTCAAACTTGCTGGTCTAATTTGGGAACGACTGGGCTGCTGGGTCGCAGCTGGAGAAGCCCCGGTGCTGCACTGCGCTGGGAGCCACTTCCCGGGGCGCTCTGTACAGACCCGGGGCTCGAGCCAAAAGGCGCGAGCGGCCCCTGGACAGCCAGGCAGTCCGTGTCCCCGCTGCCGAAGCCCTGTCGCCAGAGCAGAGGCACCCACGCCATGTTGGCGGCCTGGAGGGCTCGCTGCCCACACCCGACCAGAAGGAGAGAGGCAGAAAGCCGGCTTCAGGAGGCCCGCGACACAGACCGCTGCCTCTGTCGGCTGCTTCGCCCTCCCCATTGGAAAGGCGGACTCGACCCTAACCGCAGAAACCCACAGAGATCAACAGGTTCAAGCGGAACATTCGCGATCCGCCGTTTCTATTGGTTGCGCAAAGGCTTTTCACGCATCCAGAAGCTCGGATGTTTAATAAAATATGCATTTTTCTCCTCTAGGTTCGCACACATCCGTTGTCACTTTCCTGCCCTTCCTTCTCCTCCCTTTAGAAATAGAAGCTTCGCAAGTGTGAGCATGCAGGGACACCAGAAGGATGTAGCTATATATATATAGGCCAAGGGGCATTCATCAGGGGAGCTGGTATCAACGTAAGCGGCCCTCTGGAACCTTCATCCTCTGGGCCTGAGTCGGAGACTTGGCTTTTTAAGGTGCCAAAGCTGAGTTTAGAATAATCGAGGCTGCTTTATAGTTCTTCCTAGCCCAGAATCCTGATCAGTATGAGTGTTAAAAATCATTTCTATAAGAGCCGGGCTGCAGAGAAATTACTTGCCCTGAGTTTGGAAACCAACAATCCCAAGACTTCATTTGCCCTGGGTTGACTCTAAACTCGCGATCCGGCCTGCTGGTGTACCCAGGGCCCGGAGCTTGGGACTTAGGCCAGGCAGGCTGCACCGGACTGCCTGACAGTTATGCCACCACTTTCCATGTTTACTTGGTAACCCGTCTGGGAGAAGACCACTAGAACTCAGCCCGGGTTGGCATTCTACTTAAGCGTTTCCCCGCTTATCTATTTCTCAAGAGTTCGTTTTGCGGGTATGTGTCCTTCCTCCAGGAAGCAGTAGATAATATTGTAGCACAAACTTAAGCCAAGTTAATAGGAAAATATTTTCATTTATATTGTAATGAAATTTAAATACGAAAACATACACTTCAGATTCTGCCAAAGCGGTGAGAAGCCTTTGTTTATTTCATGCTCACAGTGGAAGCTCCTCAAACTTTGGGGGCTTCAAAGAGAAAGATGTCCACATTTCCAGTTGATTAATAGACTTAATATAATCCCTATTTCGCCCCCAAATTTCCACTTATTGGCCTAAACAAGAACAGACTGTGTTATAAACAACTTAATTGCTTGCTTAAATATGTGATTCTACGCATGTCACATATTTTCTTAATTGGAAAAATATGGCAGCTCACCAGTTACTGCAGGCACCAAATGCCAAATTAATTTTATTGTTGAACTCCTTTGAATTGGTACAGGATGCTCCACCATTTAGAAAAAGCCTTTTCCAAACACTTTGCTGGCACCAAAGGATTATCCCACCACAAAACCAGAATACTGGATGATGCCGCGCAGTAAATATCGGAAAACAAACAAACAAAAAAGGAGCCTAATGCATCTCCCGAAAGAAAACAGCGCACAGCCTGATCCTCAGTCTGCCTTGGCCGCACTCTACCTTCATAGCTCTAAGAAAATGGGAAGTTTTGGTCCCTGAGATTCAGGGATCCAGAGTCTTCACGGAGTTGGAGTGGTTCTTAGAGGCAGCCGCGAAACCCGGGGCGACTCCAGGGTGAAATCCCAATCAATCTCCGTCTCCGTATCTCTCTCCCCTTTCTCCGTCTCTCTTTTTTTCTCCCCTCGGGCCTAGGAAAGGGACTCCCGCAAACTCGGCGCTACATACTAACTGTAATCCCGCCGCCTGGCCCAGTGACGACCAGCACCCATTTGGGCAGCCGGGTCCCCCGAACTTCCCCACCCGCCTGCCGGCCGTCCGGCGGGGCCCATCCTCCGGTTGGTGAAAATGCATTCGGGTGGAAAGGGAGTAGCGGGAGCATCGGAGAAGGGCGCGCGCAAACCCCACACGCTCCCCCTCCTCCACACACACACACACCCACCCACCCACACACTCGGACCCCACCCACGACCGTGCACACCACCGGACCCCCACCCCTCCGTCCTCACTCTGGCTTCCAAAGCTGGGGTCCAAGGGCCCTCTCCGCGTCCGCCCCCCTACTCCTCCCCCGCCGGGCCTGGGGATCCTCTCCCGCCCGAGAGGAGTCGGGAAGGCGGGAAGGGGAACCGCGGCCGGGGGTCGGGCCGTTACCCTCGGTGAGCCGCGGGCTGCCCGGCTCCCTGCTTCTCTCGGCGGCGCCCATGTCCAGCTCCCGGACGGGAGAGCGCCCTCCTCCTCCAGCTCCTCCGCCTGCTCCTCCTCCGCCTCCACCTCCTCCGCCTCCGCCTCCTCCTCCGCCGCCGCCGCCGCCGCCGCCTCCGCCGGCCGCCCGGACTGCCGGGCTGCTGCGGTCGTCGCGGCCCGGCTCCGAGCAGCCGCTCGGCTCCTTGGCCCCGCGCAGCGGCCCGCTCTCCAGCACCTCCCGGTACGTGATAGCCTCCTTCTTCTCCTTCACTTTCTGGTCAAAAGACTTCGAGACGAACGCCGTAAGTTCCTCCATCGCCAGAGATGCCCGTCAGCCCCACGCTCAACCTCTCCCAGCCGAGCAGCCCCGCTCTTTTTTTTCCTTCTTCTTTTTTTACTGCTCCAGCCCCCCCAATAATAACACATCAATGGGGCAGGGGGTGGGGGGGGAGGGGGAGGGGGGAAGGAGAAGAAAAGGAAGAGAAGAAAGAAGAAAGAGGAGGAGAAGTAGAAGGAGAAAAAGAAGTAAGAAGAGGAGGAGGTGCAGGAGGAAGAAGAGGAAGAGGGAAGGGGCGGGGGCCGCCGGAGGGAAATGGGAACCGATGCTTCCCCGCCGGAGCGCGCTTGTTCAGTGTTAAGATCTTTGACAATTCTTCCTGCGGAGAGTTCAGATCTGATAGCGACGCAGCGCTTGAAGTCTCACTATTTATACTTCGCAAAGGCGGCCCCTTGTTCTGAGTAAATTACCTCCCCTCGCAACTCGGAGGGAGCCCCTTCCCGGGAAGCTCCCGCGCCACTACCTGGGGGTGGGGGAGTGGGGGTTGGGAGGTGGTGGGGGTGATAGGGAGAGAGGGAGAAGGGGGAGAGAGAGAGAGAGAGAGAGAAAGAAAGAGAGATTGAGATTGATTAAGGCTGGAGTCCAGGATGGCTGGAGCTGGAGTATTGAGGACAGAGAAGGGGGACCGGAGGGAGTGGGAAGAAGAGGCAGTCCCAGGCCGTCCGGCTTTTCGGATACCTCGGCCGCCTGCACGCTTGGCCATTAATTCAGGATTGACAAGAATCCCTAATTAATTTAATTAGGCGTGGATTTTTGCGTTGGTGTCACGACTTACTTAAACACTGGGGAGCTGGACTTATTCCGCCGGGGCGTGGCCAAGAGGAAACTGACAAGTGCGCGGCTCCAGGAGTCAGTAGGGTATCCCGACCTGGCAGACGACCCTGCGTCCTCGCCAGGCGTCAGGGTGCTGCGCAACTGCTCGGCTCCTCATTGCTGTCCCGCAGCCCTGCCCTCCCTCAGAACCCCGGAACCCCATTTCCGTATCCTGATCCTGTGCCCCCGTCGTACATGCCTGCTCTCCCCAGCGCCGACCCGAAACCTTGTAGCCTGGCATCCTGGCTTCACGACCCTGCCGAGTCAGGGTCCTTTACAATTTCTCAGGCCCGCGCAGCTCCTTTTTAGGGGCTTCCCGGCCCGCGGCCAGAGCTGAGCCTGGGTCTCCACCAAGCTCCCCGCCCCAGAGAGTTTGTGAGTCACCCCATTATTCGCGTCCTGCAGACCATGCCGACTCTGCCGACAAAACTCGCTCCACTGGCTGGTTGGTTTAACACATTTTCCGAGCAGCTGTTCCCTGACAGGTTCCATTTTAAAGTGTTTCTTTAGCGCTTGATCAAGGACAGTTTGACTTCGTTCCCTCTTTGAGGTCTCAGGACCCTCACCCTTCTCCCTTACTCTTTGCACTGGGACTCCTCCCACAATGAACTAAAGAAACTCTTCTTTAGAATCCCAAAAGCATTCTAATTAATTTCCTAATTTTGAAAAGATCATGATGATTCTTCTTCGAGTTTGAAAAAAAAATAGATGTTAAGTTTGTGCCCCACCTAATTTCATTTATCGTGGACTATTTTAAAAAATGCTCTCTGGGAGAAAAGTACCCCTCCTCTCCACTTAACGCTACGATTTAAAATTATATCCCCGGACTGTTTTCATGGAAGCTGTTATATGGATGGACACATCTATATTCTTGCGTCATATATGCGTATCATGCAGGACAAAGCTTGTTGTGAGAAGTGTGGCCAAGTATATATACCCCTCACATAAGGCTGTTTACATGTGAAAAAAAGAATACTTACATATTGAAAGGTATATTTACCTGCTTGTGTAAACACACCTTTTCAAGTGTGGCTTCGGAAACATTTTTGAATAGTCTGAATATTAAATACAGTCTTTCTGATGTTAAAGGTAACTTGTCCGTTTTCTTGGATCTTATCGTCTTAGTAAAAATAAAAGCAATTATAGAACTTTGATTCTGACATCTTCCAACCATTGGTTAAGGCATCAACACAAAGTTAACAGATAATTTGAGAAGTTCCGTCAAAGCAACATAAAGCATTCGTAAAAAGAGAACACAATTATACCTTAATATGTTACTATTTCTAGAATATATCTGTGTCACTATTTTTCACTACTTTTACACTTTTCAGATTAAAATATTCACAGTTGGTGAACTTAAGATGGAAATCTTACTTTTTAGAATTGTTACTTTGCCTTTTTTCTCTTGAATTTAAAGTTTTTTTTTTCTTAAAATATTTCATTTATTGCTACTTTTAGGAGAAATAATTAAGAACTTTAAGTTTCCAGTAGCAGTAGCTTTTAGGTATCAATAAATTACAGGAGTGCTTTCTTTTATTACACTACAAAAGAGATTCAAATACTCACACTTTCTAAAGTTATATGAATTTAGAAATATGATTTTGCAGTTAGTCTTGGGTTACCATTTGTGACCACTTCTGATATTATTAGAGGGGACTAGCCATAAAATTTTAATCCTTTAGGAAAATCCACTTTTAAGGTTATTTAGCAGAATGACAAGTCATGGGGTCAACTAAATGGATGTGGTGCTCAAATAGCTCTCAAACTGAGATGTTAAATGTGTATTCACAAACAGCTCTAAAACAGCCATGATTAAAAGTCTGGTAAGGGATCAGGAGGCTTACGAACTACTTTTTTGCCCTTTCAAGCACATGACTTTCAAGTCTGCAACTCAAATTCCACCTACTGAGCTTGAGGGAAAGATGAACACTTTAATCAGGGAAGACTTGGATACAATAGTTGAATAATTCACACCAAATAGATTTTCCATAGATTTTTCTGGACTGTTGCTCTTAGTATATTTACCAATAGTGGTGTTCATATGAGATGGAGCTATGTATGAGAGATCTGCGGTGTCTAACTATGGATTCCTACTGCCCTAAGGGAAATTTAGTTAAAAAAAACACAAAAACAACCAACCAAGGTTTTGAAATCATATAATAATAAATGCTCACCAAGTTATAACGATGTTGTTTCTTTAAATAGCAAATATTTTCTCAAGACAGTTCAAAATGCAGTTTCGGTAAAAACAAACAACAGTTGAGAGTAAAGTTCAGTGACCACCTGCAGACAGATGAACAGCTTCCAATAAAATTCAGGGCCCCAAAAGTTCATTTCTTTACCCTCCATTTCAGCTCTTGAATTATTTAAAATAAACATGCACTGTTGTAGTTAAGCTTTAAAATGGCCCCTCAAAACAGGTTAGTTAAGGTACAGTCATTTATGAAAAATAGAGTTGTGGAGATGATTTTCTCCACCTCAAATGTCTGTGCAAAACTGTAGCTTGGGTACACAGCAGTTTTTGGTTCTCTCGGTTCACTCAGACCAAGGCCAATAGTTTACCTCCTTATCGACGCTTCTTCACATGAAATAAGGAAAAAATGATATTCATGCAAGAACAGATAAAGTCGTGTAAGTTACAGAAAATGCTGACTTGCTTTCATTTGTATGGGTTTAAATCACAACAAAACCCCCTACACATTTATTTTCCAGAAGAAACCTCCTGCCCCTGCCTCTGGCAGTTTTCTCCCATTCCTCAACCAACCAGTTACTTTAATGAGAGAAAAAAATTTGTCCCCAGCCTGTGCCTTCACCTTTAGCGCAGAAGAAACACCGACTTTTAATGCAGTTTTTCAAATAAATCATTACAATTTAATCACAAACGACTCTGACGCTATACAGACACACTCCCTTGATTTATTATTGTTGGGCCAGTTTCCTCCTCTCCCAGCATGAGATAATCGATTTTGCTACGTGTGGGTGTCTTAAACATAACTTCCTATGATGCGGATTTGTTTACTTATTATCTGTGGCGATAACGACGATTACTAAGGCAATAAAACTTTTCAGTCCCCACCTTAATTGCTTTTTGGTAACAAGAAAATCAAATAATCAAGCACGCAAAACCAACACCAAACAAAAAATTGGCGGCGTGACAATCTACTCCTTCGGTTCTCCTAACGCCTGGCAGCTTCCATCGATGCGCTCGAAAATTCGGCTGACGCTGCCTGGCGGTGGAACCAGGAAGGCGGTGAGCTTAAACTGAAGCAAGTTCGGTGAACGCCGGCGGCGCCCAGATTTGAAGAAACATTTCTAGGTCTGCGGCGCTTGCAAGTCTACTGGAGGTATAAGCCCGAAGGCCGGAATCCAGGTGATGCCCGCGTCCGGGATCTGAGAGGCAGCGCCCGCAGCTGAGGAGTTCCGAGGCCCTACTCGGGCGTGAGGCGGCGCGGGCCTGGCGCTGCCTGTGTGCTGGAGGCGGCGGCGGCGGCGGCGGCGTCGGCGGCGGCGGGAGGGGGTTGGGGGTAGGGGGCTGGCGGTCCGGCGGCGCGCTGGGTGGCGCAGTGCGCATGCTCTGGGCACCTGGCGGCTTCTGACCTTTTGAGGGCCAAGCTGGGGCCTTAGGGTGGTGGCGGTTATGGGGCTGTACGCGCTCGCAGGCCTCAGGCTAGGCCTTGAGTCTAGAGGTGGTGAGGGAGAGTTAGCCTACCCTTTTACCCTTTCCCTCCTCCAAACCTGTCTCCCGCCCCCACCGCCAGTCCCTGATCTTTGATGGCCTGCCTCTGGGTTTCTGGGTTTGTCTTGTAAGATGTGACTGGAGTTTGGTAACTAGATGTAGGTAGGGTGGAGCGAGAAGGAGGCTGCAGTCTGGGGTCCTCTGTCCCGTCCACTGTGTTACGTCTGCTTTACATTCGCCTGCTCTTCCAGCTTACCCCCTCTCACCCGAATCCCGCACCCCCATCCCTACCCCACCTCCCATCCTTCCTGGCTCACACATTCTGGGAAGAGAGGTGGTGCGGGGTGACACGGACTTCCTTCCTTAACAAATACATACATTTGTTATATTTATTTGCCTTTCACAATCATCTCTTTCCTTGATTTCAGGACTTGTGGTCATAGACCAAGAGCACATGGCTATCTATGGTCTATGAGAGGTTATGCACTAG